AGTATGTCCAAACAGGCAAAATCTGGTTGGTAACCTAGAACAGAAGAAAGGAGGAAATATTTAAAAAAAACCCCAAGCACTTAAAGTACTGGTTTTTAAGATTTACAGTTATGTTATTGAGGAAACATCATAGTTGTGGTTACAGGAAACACTGAACAGTGCAGACTTAAACTGCTTTCAGTTACATTACTGTAAATGTACTACATAAGGGGCGAAGATAGTGATGCTACACTCTGCTACAGAAACAAGTGGATTGGTTTAAAAATTCCAGTAAAGTCCTATAAAGAAGGCAGATTTTGATATTCGGCTCTTTAAAGCAGTTGTAACAGTGTGTCAGAGGAAAGGCTGTCTAGCTTCAAATCCTATTCCCCACAGCAGCTGGAAATGAACGCCTATTTAGTTTTAACTTTTTACGTGAGTCATTGTATACCTTTGGTTACCTCTTTCCCTTGTTAAAATTGGAATGAAAAAAGCAGCATGTGCTTCATACAATGTAACTGGAACTGCACATAGTGAATGTGTAGCTGCTACCAGGTTATCTGCACCTTCTATGTTTTCTTTCAGTTTAATGTGTAAGAAGTAAGCAAGTCTTTGAGGAAACAGTATTTCAGTAAGTTTCAGCTGGACTTGAGTATATAGGTGCTCTGAAAAGAAATTCTTTCTCTTTTTTCTAAAACTGTTCTGCATTTGGGTTGGAAGGTGCTGTTTGCAGTTGCCACTAAAGCTCAGTGCTTGCCGAGGCAGTTTGGGTACACCTAGGTCAGGTGTCTGCTTTTAGATGCACATCATAAAATGAGCTTTTTCTGTAAGTTGGCTGTTTTGGGGAGGTCTCGCCCAGTAATTATGGGCTCTGCTGGGGGCGTCCATTCCTGATCGCTTGTCCTCTGCTTAAACAGAGACTAGAAAGGAACTGTATGAAATGCAGGAGGACAATAGTAGGTGGTCATCTTTTTACTTCTGAACAGGTGCTGGAGTGAGTTGCATGGTGAGCAGCTGGTTCACTGTATCTTTCTGTGTGACTTGTTTAGTTTCTCTGAACTTTAATTAGAATTTCTAAGTGTTTGACTTAAAATTGTGTTATAGAATTAGCTCACTGGAGGTGAGTTTGGCTGAAATAACTATTATCTGTACTACGCTTATTTTTGAGTTAAGGATTCTTGTTGAAATCAGAATTAAGGCATTCTGTGATCCTTGTTGTGTATTTTATATAAGAGGTAAAACTTCCCTTTTTGATTAAAAAAGAATAGTAATAAAAAAGGAGGAGAAAATAAACCCTAATGACTTAAACCACAAATACCTTTTCTCAGAAGAAACCTTGGGTTCACACTGTGCTGGTAGATTCTGCCTTAACATTTGCTGCTGTGCAGCAGGAATGACTGTTCTTCATATTAGCTGTATGTGGGAGTACCAAACTTGTGTTTTCTAATTATACTGTTAGCTCCATGACTCAGCCACGTGTCAACTATGTCACCTTTTCCTGGGAAGTGTACTCCTGAAGCAGCCCGTGCTGAACAGAGGAGCAGAGCAAGAAAACTTGCAGTGCATGCATTTAAAAAAAAAAACCCCAACTTTTCTGAATGTGAACCTGACCTCCACAGTTTAATGAATGCATAAAACATTGCTGTAATGTAGGTAATAACTTTAACAGCTCATAAGGGGAAGGTTGTTTAGTTTTCTTATGATTTGCTATCTGTGTGTTACTGTCAGTGTAATCAGTTCCATGATAGGTATAAATAAATGTCAGTGTTGCCCCTCCTCTGGGGTTCTACCTTGGAGAGGAGCTAGCTGACCTGATTTTGCCAAAAATACCAGTCTCTTAAACAACTACCAAATAGTAGTTGTTTCAGAGTCCTAAGAATATGGGGTGTTTAATGTTTTGATCTTCTGCCAAAGAGGTGACTCCTTACTCTTTCCCAGAAGCATCTTAAACATGAGACTCTACATAAAACATATCTGTATTATTGAACACTTCATCTTCCCTTCAGTTATTGCTGTAAGGCTTAATGCTTTAAGCATTTTAATTATTACTTAAGAGAATAGTTACATACCTCTTCAATCGTTAGGTTTTTGTCTGGCCCCGTTAGATAAGGGGTGAGAAAAGACTCTGATGGCCTCATTGTGGCAAAAAATCCATTTGCACAGATGATCACCGTGGGATAAATCCAGCTGCGGCTTATGGCTTCCTTCCAGGAATCCATAGCCTACCTAAAAGAAAAAAAGGTGGCAAAGAAATGAATAGATGCTCTTCACAACTGGTAAAAATTCATCTGCAAGTTTACTTTTTAACTAAACCTATACTGCCGGCCTCTTAAGCGGGGGCTGTGATGGTGGCAGCCAGTTTAATTGGACGCTGGGGGACAGATGGCAATGTGATAGCCAAGGGCTGCCTGGGATGGTGACACAGAGGTCTTGCTGATGTGCAGATGTAACTGTACATCAATGATCTTGGGCTCTCCTGCACAGCAGTGGAGCTGCACACCTGGATCTCCCCGTGGGCAGGGATGCCTCTTGCAGTTACTCCTCAAGGTCCAGAGATTCCTTGCCACAACAGATCCTTAGTAAGTGACTAACAGTGTGCTCAGCTTTGAAATCCTGGCTGAGGACTGACTGCACATGTACAATCCTTTAGACATAGGCAGTTGACCAAATCTGGGACTAGCAGTGGGTCTAGCTGCACCTTGACTCCTCTCTGCAAGGAGTTTAGAATTCTGTGACTTAACAAGAGGGTCTCTCCACCAGTTCTGTCTCACCTTGTCCTCTGTGCACTAAGTCAAGCCTACCTTGCTGTCGAGTCCTGTTAAACCACTGTCGCATTTACCGTTGAACTTTGATAGATCAGTAGAGGATATTGTTGTGTCTGTCTCAGGAGTGGAGTGACTCCAGCTGTGACACGACCCGAGCCAATATTTCTCTCACTGACCCTGCCTGAGGTCACAGATGCAGCCTATAAATGAATAACTCAGATCAAGGTGCGTTGGCCGTGGTAAACTCTGGTCTCTGTTATTGTCTGTCAAAGGTTGTTCTCAGTGATGTACTTAGGGCTGGGTGCACGTGCTGCAGGGGAAGAATGAAGTTCCATTACAGTTTCATTTCTGAATAAATAAGTGGGCAGACTGTGAGATTAAAGCTCATTCTCAGGGTGCTGTTGATTCACAGCCTGAGTGCCAAGTGGCACAATGACAGTGCAAGTGTTCTCGCAGACAAAAGAAGCCACCAGCCAGCTCAGCCCATTGCGAGCTCAGTTTCTTCAAAATGCTTTAACACTCATCATATTTCTTGCACTCCAGTCATTTGAGAGGGTAGAGAAAGATGCAGAAACCATCTGCTCATGGTACCTGCTCAGATTTTGAAAAGAGGAAACTTCACTTTTAGAAAGGATGATCAAAAGGAAAAGGAGGAGACCTTTCTTCACTGTAGTCAGTAAAAAAGTCTAAAGATATTTGTTTTTTTAAGCTTATATTACTTGTTTTGCATTAAAAAGTCAATTTCACTGATCCTGAAAACAAGTGAAATAAGAATGTTCTGAATCATAAGGGAATGAAAGCAAAGCACTAACTGATGTTTAATCATGCAGTTACAAGCTATTTCTTTTAAATAGTTGAATTCCGCTTTGTAGCAGGCACTTTTTCAAAAGTGCTTCTACTTGCACTGTAAGATTGTATTTTTTAAAACTTAGCATAAATAGTATGTTACAAAGACAGTATTTCTTGACCTCAGAGGAACGTTATGAAAACCAGCCCTAACCCTTGAAACCTGATTTTAAATGATTGCCTTTGTTATCATCTTTCTCTTACAAATCATTATATATAAAGTACAGCCTGTACTACCTTTAAATCAAGACCTAATTTGAAATGTTTTGATATGTTACCTTTTTGAAATAAAAATATATTAAATCCTGGGCTGATCAGTAACATCCGCATGAATGTTTTATCACCTCAAAATGCACTGAGCAAGTGAGTACCCACCACACTCCCAAATAACTCCAAAGGTGATGAATTACCTGTCAAACCTGTGGCTGTGGTGCATTTCTTGTGGATTCATGTGCAGTTCCTCCTAGGATGACTTTGTCTTGCAGAGGAGAAGTCAGAAACCACCCTCTAGGATTGGAGGTAGTAAGACATTTCTGTGTCTTTTTTTTCTGAAATGTCCCTTCTAAAATGTTACCAGAATTTAAATAATAATAATAATACTAACTCATCACAGCTTTTCTTGCTTGCAGAACTTGTCCATGAAGATTGCAGGGGAAGCATTCTCCTTTACAGGTTTTATCAGCAAACTGAGTTGTATTTTTATGATAAAGCTATAATACTCACAGTGGCTAATGATTAATAAAACCTGCTATGGCAAGAAAGCAATCAATGATTGCATTCTTTATGTTAATAAATACCTTTAAAAGCTCTGGTCTCTGATTCATGGATAAGACAGAGCACCAGTTCAGCACAGCTTGGGCTAACACTGGCCCTCCCCTGTGCATAGTGTAGTGGCCTCTGGGCTCGTGGGGTCTCTTCTGACCGTCCTGGCTTTGCTAGGGGTTGGGAGGTAGGACATGGAATGTCTCATACTATTAGTTGGCCAGGAATTACTTCTGTATAAGGACTGATCTGTCATATAAGGGCAAATGGACAATAGGACGAGCTTCTAAATCTGGCTTCTAAGCTAAAAAAGTCAAAACAGACCTGCTTTAGAGAAATGCTGTTGCTTTGCTTTCCTGTACCTATTTTTTTCAGACTGGACTCCCTCTGTCCTCCGAGGTTCACTAGAGGATGGAGTGACCCCTGAGGCCGGTGGTGGGATGTGTGTTGGCACTGGCAGTGGGTGCTGTGGCCCTGGCACAGGAGGGGCCCCTTTGTGAGCTCGGCAGGGCCTGGTCCGGTTCTGCAGGTTTGGAAGGTTCTCTCAGTGCTCAAGTGTGTTGTTCAACCAGGCAGGCAAGTGCTCGGGGGGGCCAGGTTTGTCTCTGCACTTCCTTCTTTTTCCTTACCGAGAGCTTCTGAGGAAGGGAAGGAGCCCTGGGGAAGGTACTGGGTGGGTGTGCTGCCTGCTGGAAGGGGGCTCCTGGCTGGCGCTTCTCTGGTGGCCCTGGGTAGTGGCTGGGCAATACCGGCATGCTTTGAATCCAAAGATACTCTGTTCCTTCCTTGTTTGCCCAAATTGGCCTTACCAGCTTGCTGGACTGTGTCTTCACATAAGACTTAGGCCCAAACCCACTAATGTTTCAAAGCCAGTGTTGTATTTCGAGGGGGTTGTAGTTATGGGGAGCAACGAGCCCGTCTCTGGAGTTTCATGTTTACATGGAATCCTTTAACATGCTGGAAGAAAGATCAGCACTTAATACTAAAAGTTGCAAGGAGAGGTGGATGTGTTGAGTTTCCTTTTCCTGCAGAATTAGATAGCCTGTGGTTCCAGCCTTGCTTATAACCTGCCAAGCCTCAAGTATCTTCTCTCCAAAGAGTGTGTGTGTAGGTACACAAACGCACAGGTGGATGTGTGCGTCTTAATCTTTTAGATTAAATCTCTGATTGCTGGGTTGATTCTGGTTACCCTGTGTAATCAGAATTAATTTACCCTGTGAAAGTCCAGGGTAAGACAAGGCCTTGCCTTTCTCTTCTTAACAGTCCTAAGTACTGCCCTCTTCCTCCTCTGTTTCCCCCATAATGCTCCCCCCAACTTCCAAACTCAAAATCTTTTTTTTGGAAATTGGAGAGAATAGGATTAGATTTTTTTTTCTTTAAGATCTTAGCTGTTTTCTGAAGATGGGGCTCCCTACAGCTGCAAGCCAAATACACTGTGTCTGCTTGGTTTCTTTGCTCCTCAGTGACATCCCACAGAGAAAGCAGTGAGCTCTAATCAGAACATAAGAATTTTCATGGTTATTTCTACGAGTTTTTCTAGCTCCTTTCCTGCAGCCAACTACTGGCATTATTTTTTTAAGTAATAACAAAAAAGTTTCACATGTTGTTGATTCCTGTTGTCAGATGCTACATGGAAATATTTGTTAACTTTCTGTACCAAAGGCAGTTTGAGACCATGGCCATGGAGCTGAAAATATTAAGTTCTTCCTTTTTCATTTAAATACAAAGTCTCTTTAACTTCTAGTCAAGGACTGGCACCTACTTCTAAACTAAATGCCTCAAAAGAAGATTCCTACTCACAAGGAAGAATAGAATAAATTAGTCCTTGCTCTCCTGGACTCTGTCCCTCATTCTTCAGGCAGGAGTATCGTGCTCACAGTTCTGCAGTAATAAAAGATACTCACTGCTCAATGCAAACTGAATACATCTCCTGATTTTATGACTGTATTGATTAAATTGTTGTGCTTAGAGCCAGTTTACAATAGAGAATGTCTGCACAATGCACAACAGTAAACAAAAAGCCTAAAAAAACTAGCCAGGTTCATTTGGTCAGATCCTACTGATTCTTCTTGTGACTTGTAACAAATTGCTTCACTCCTGCCTGCCCTCACTTCTGGGCACTTTGTCTAGTTGCAATATGTGACTGGTATAAAAAGCAGATATGTTTGTACAAATGATAGCTTGTGTCTCTACAGGAAAAATATTATTCTGTAAATGCTAGATTTTTTTCTATTTTTATTACTTAGGTGTAGGGATTGGAGGCTAGAAGCAAACAGCAGTACAGAAATAACTTTAGCATATGGATATCAATCATATTAAATTAGGTATTCACCATGAAAACTCATTTATAGTCTCTTGTTTCTTCGCCTGGACTAACTGTCCTTTGTGTTGGACTAAATTAGCTGTAGGACTTGAAGTTTCTTGATAAATTCAGAGATGCTGACCCTGCCAAATTCTTGGCCAAGATCAGTGGATCTCCCTCACTTGGCATTCAAAAGCACACATGATGCTAGCTGTTTGTTTCAGTTATTAAATCTTCTTGGATATTCTTGTTAATCTGGAATTTTCCTGTGTGGAATCAGCCATATTTCTCCACAATGTACTTCTGTAGTTTTAGTCCATACTACTTAAGCCCCTTGATAGCCTTTTTTTCTTTTTTTGTTGAAATAGAAAGACAATCAGTCCTGAATTTAATTTTGCTGGGAGCACGAGGAAAGGAGAGGGGCTCTTTCATTTTGTTTGGACTTGGAAGTTTCTCGCTTCTCGGCAGAGATTTCTATGAAGTCAGTGAAGTGGTTGCAGCTTTCAAATGTGGGTCAAGTAACAACTGTGGCTTAGCAGTGTTGGAGTGAAACCCCTGGGATGGGATGTGCAAACCCTGCACGAGGCCCCTCTGGTGTGGGCTGTTCAATTAGGCAGGAGGAGCCTGTCAACCCATCTGCCTGCACTTGGGTAGGAAAGAATATAATGATGCAGACACAATCCTTTCTTCCTTGATTCAGAACAAGGGATGTGCAAGGGGGAGGCAGACCCTTCACCCACGTGCAGGAGCAAATGTGGTTGGAAGCAGCTTTGCCAGCACCACACACAGGAGCCAGAACAAGCAAGGCAGGATGAACTCTGATCTTTGCTATCGTGCACAGGGAGGAGATGAAAAAGGTTGTGCTTCTGTGTATAAATTACTGCTGTTAAGCTCTTTATAGGCAAGTAAATAAGAATCTAAAGCAATTTAGCTTTTATTCTTGGCACAGGGCTGTTATGTGAGCTCTGAGCTGGCATATGTTATGCTGAAGTGCTGCAATGATTCAGCGCAGCTTTCCAGGGCTGTGTTGAACGTTCTTCTTGCACTGCTGTTCCCTGCATGCTGCAGCCTGAGCTCTTCTCCCAGGAGGGTCTGGTCAAGGAGCCTGCTGTGTCAAATAGCCTGTGACAATCTGCTCTCTGGATTTGTGCTCAGCATGGTTCAGCTGCCCTTTGCAACATCTTCCTATTTTCCTTTTGCATTTGCTTGAGACAAGCACACAAATGCTTCTGATCATGAAAATCCCGTGTATGACTGCAAAGTAGCTGCCATAAATTAAAAACTGGGAGAGGGAGAGAAAAAGGCAGAAGAATTAATGAAAAATGCTTTAGGGAAATGCTGCTTCTTCTGGAGATGACAGACACTATGATTTTCTTTACCTGTGTTCTGGCACACTTTCTCTATGTTCAAGTTTTTGCTTTGTGATTTGCTTTTCCAGCAAACAGCAGATATTTGTGGAATGAAGAACTGCCCCTTGCTTCCATTCCTTATGCCTCTTAATAAACATCAGAGGGGGAGCAGGATAGGAACATAATTTTTTTTTTCTATTAGTGCAAAATATAGAATTAGCTTCATTACCCACATAGTCATGAATAATGTAAGTGAAGAATCTGAGTTCATCCTTGTTTTGCTCTTACTTGCACATTTCAGTGCTGTCACCACACTGGTTTCCGTAAATACACTGTGACTTTGTATCACTGTTTCCAACAGCAGTGGCAAGGCTATTTATGAGGTCCTACATAATCCTGTCTTTCATTTTAAAGTTTTAATTTTTAATGTTTGATTCAATCCTTATTCTTTTACAGTAACTTTTGCCTTCTCTGTGCAGAATATCTGAATAGCTTTAGTCTTCTTCAAATCCAAGGCAGTAGGAAGCTGCCCCAGCTGAGAGCCCATCTGAGAAAACGCAGAAGTCAGTACATCTCAGGTGACTTCAACATGGGTGGCATTGGGCTGGCTAAAGTCTCAGCCACTGTTGTGAGATAGGATATCCCATCCCAAATTAAGTGCCCAGGCTATGGGCAGAAGACTATTACACATGTTGAGATACAGACCAGGTTTGCTCCTGAGCTGGAATTAGAAGTCAGGTGTCCTTTTCACTTGAGCTGAAATAACTCCAATAATCTAGGCTGTGTCTCATGGTTTGAACACCACTGATAACGTGGTTATGTTGATTCTGCGTTTGACAAAACTAGTTTGAGTTTTTGGGGAGAGAGGATGTTATTCAGTGTCCCATCAATGACCAAAACTGGTCAGATAGCAGGGCCTGAATAATTATGTTCTGATGTATGTCCTTTTAAAAAGTCAAAGACCAGCATCTGTAATCCTAAATGGATTCAAAGGCAAAAGGGAAGAATTATGATTGACATGAGAGAAGAACAAGATGTGCAGATTTCTATAGAAGAAAGAGGGAATTAAGTTGTCCTTTGGCATAGGAATACCATTCTTGGTAAACTTTTGAAGTCAAACTGGCAAAGCAGTAAATAGAATATAAGGTAATAACACTTACCTGAGTCACTACGTCCAGCCCCAGGCCTCTCGAATCCACAACAACTACTGTAAGAATGGTCTGAATCACCAGGGCAATGAAGTTGTTGAATCCAAACATCAAAGCATAGCGTTCCATGCTCAGATTGATGGCAATCTGGAACCTAATGTGAGACTGGCAGGTCAGTGACTTTCCACTGGGTGAAAAGTTATTGCCCTCCAGTCAGTGAGTGAAGAGAAATAATTCATGGAGATGATACATCAAGGACAGAGTAAACAGTGTTTCATTTGTTTGTTTGCTTCCTTGCTTACTCAAAAAGCCTTGAGTACCATAGTGTATTTTGACGGTTTTTTTACTTGTCTGTGCTGCTTTTCCAAACCATACTATCAGGTGCTTGGTACAAGATCAGTTCTCTTTAACCCTTTGCTCCTTCTCAACCCCCACAGACTGTGCCAGGCAGGCTGTAAAGTCTCCATGGCTGGAGTCTTTCAGAGACTTGGCCAGGCAAAGCCAGGACCTGCTCTGGCCGTGGCAGCAGTTCTGCCCTGGCTGGGACGTCAGACCAGAAGGTCACTGTGGGTATCTTCCAACCAAATTTTCTGTGATGATGTGAGTCACTTTTTGCTTTGGGGCTTGACAGTGGAGGTAACATGCTGTTTATTTCTGTCAAGAGCCTGTAGATTTTACTTGCAATATCTTTTTTGACAATAGTTAGAAATCTTTCCCTGCAATATCTACCTGCAGAGTTTATATCTGAACAAAAGGGTATTATTCCATCAGGATTCACTTTCATTGATTTTAGCATGTTTTTTATGTGCAAGTTTTGACTCTTTTTGTTGTTGTTGTTTTTGGTTGGTTGGTTAGTTGGTTGATTTTTGTTTTGTTTTGGTAGAATATTTTGAAATAGTCCAGGTGTGATTTGCTATAATGTAGTAGCAATAAACAAAAATGAAAACAGAGTTCACTTGGCTTCCTTCGAGATAGGCATAATCTTGCCATGCATTATAATTTTAGCAGGTTTTTTAAAATGGTTTCTGACTAATTTTGGGTTTTGACATAAAATGCATCTGGTATTTCTGTTAATGAACTAGTGTGGTCTAAAGTCTAAAGACATTCCAAGCAACTAAATAACTGGAGTAATAACGTATTTATTGCACAGATTAGATATAATATTTGCTATTAATATTATTATTATTATAGCTTGGTCTCCTAAGAGATCTTGTCCAGTGTTCTCTTTTACTCCTTCTTTACATCCTAATATCTTTAAGGATTATGTGTATAAAATTACATTGGGAAATGCTCTGTGTCGAGTCTCTTCTTGAATTCATGCAGTTCATGGCATGCTAAAAGGTTTATCAGCTGGTGGTCTAGACATTATAGGATGGCTGTCAAGGTGTGTTTGTCCCTATTGTTCACTTTTTATCCTTCCTGCCAGAAAGAAGGAAAACAGCTTCTGCATTTTGCTGTTACCATTCCCTTTAGTACTAAAGTTACCTTGTACTTTGTTTAACTTCTGCCTAGTTAAATGTTCAATTTTATGGATATTCAAAAATTTTGATAATTTTTCTTTTGTGGTTGTTTAGAAGAACAAAAACAACATAATCAGACATTTAAGTGTCCTTGTGTTTACCTACACAGTTATGTCTAGCATTAGGTCCTCTTTCTCTGAGCGAAAGGAGGGATGCCCAAAGCAAACTTGAGGTAGGGTCAGCATTCTGTGCATAAAGGCAGCACTGTCAGGTTTTATACTTACGTTGCTATTGTCAGGAGGAGCATATAGCAGGCCTTGAAAATGAGATAGCCAGCATAACACACCCAGATGTTGGTAGAGAAGTGCATGAGAAACAGAGAACCAGCATCTACTGCAGAGAAGATCCCTAAAGCCAGTTCTCCAAAAAGGTCCCAGTTAATTTTCACATATTGTACTAGGAAAGATGTTACTGAGCCTAGAAAAAGAGAAAAATGTGTAAATGTTGTATGTGTTCCACAGCCTGTATCACCAAATCTTGCCACCCTCACGTGCCAAAAGGCAATGCCGAATAATGAAGCAGAGTAGTTCTGAAATTTGAAAGCATTTCTAATGACTTCTGCAGCCATGCAGATGACTGGTCACTTTTAGACAACTGCATAAATCAAGTCTCTGCCATTCTGTTCTCAGTGCTTTATTCCACTTGACAGGATAAACTGTAATGTAGAAGGATTGATTATTTGGCTGTCTGTACCCAGCATGGATCTCTAGGGAGAGAACTGGGAACACAGTTTGGAATTCAAAAAGTTCCTTCCAGCTTCTCCTAGCTTACTGCACACCGAGGCTAGTAAACCTGCTAATGTAACAATTTAGCTCTGTGCACCAAATAAAAGAGGTAAGCTGTCAAAAAAGTGAGGTATCAGGAGAGTATATCCAAGGAAATGAGAAAGGATAGGCACTGTTTGCTCTTGGTGGGCCTCCTAGAAGGTGCATCTGTTGCAAAGATAAGCCACCTGATTTAGTATCTTCTGTACTTCTACACGGAGAAACAGGCAATTCCATGACAAAGAGGAATTCGTCAAGGAGAAAAATATTCTAATTCATTATTCACTTGGTCTATTTAATTGCCTGCCTCGAGACAAGAGTAGTATCTATTTCTCCTTAATGACTGTAAGGGTAACCTGAATGACTAGGTGTGATGTAGACATGTTTTTTTCCCTGGTGGATCACACCCCAAAGTCTTGTGCAAGTTCTCTACAGCAGCACAGTGTGATTATGTGAAACCCTGCCAAGGCAGGGTGGTGTTCTCTGATGTTACCTTTTGATAACCTCACTTTGCTTGTGTGGTGTGAGCATCTGCTCCTGGTGCAAAAGTGGAATACTTAACATCAGTAGCATAAGGAATTCAATGGGGTCTTTTTCTGCAAATCTCTGCATCTTGCAATGACTAAAATTCTCCTTTTTCTCCAGCTGCACAAGAGTATTTCACTAGAAAAAGATCGTAATTAGAGGATTATGTTCTTTTTGTGTAAAATGTTTAGGAATAACTTCTTCCATCTGTGTAAGCTGATAGCATTGTTATGGGAACAGTGCCATACTGTTTTGGGGAAAAAAAAACACCCAATAGCCTCATCCAAAGACACATGAGTGCCTCTGAATGGATTTACCAACTGGATATAAAGCCTGTGTAACTTGCAAACTTTCTGCATACTGGTAAGACAGATTAGGTTATCTGGTCCTAAAGAAAAAGCAGCATAGCTCACATTTGAACTGTTGTAGATCAAAGAATGAGGTCTGGAAGGCACAGTGTGTGCAGTGGCTCCCTGGAGCGTCTGCAATAGAATGGCACTTAAAACTTTTGAGACTGCCTTTGTGATCAGTGTTTAGGCATTAACTTACTCAGAAAAGTTGCTAGTGCTTCGACAGCTCCATTGTACACTGCGGAGCTGTGAGAGGGGGCTCGGGAGTCCCACAGCACTTGGATATAATTCAGGACTTGGTTAAAGCCAGCTGTAGCCAGAGCCCACCACAGAGACCAGTAGAGAAGTTTCCTGGAGCTGTAGCAATCCCTCAGGTCCTTGCTCAGCTGCACCAGCACTCTGAGCATGTGATTGCAGGGCTTGGCATTCCCAGCCTGCTGTTGGGGTGTTGGATCCCTGCCAGCAGAGTCGGAGCTCGTGTCCTCTTGGCAGCTCGAGGGACGGTCAGAACCAGCCGGAGCCACAACTTTGTCAGGCCCTGGGAGAGATTCGGAGGCGTCTTTCCAGTGGAAGAACATGCTCTTCTGGGGCATAGGGAGGAAAAACACACACAGGAACGCCAGGGCCACAGAAGCCAAAGTAATGGCGTTGAGGTAGAAGTAGGACACATCTGCCAAGGACACCAGCAGCTGTCCCAGCACGGCGGCAACAGTGGCTGCCACCAGAGTGCTGCTCCTGCAGTAGCTCGTCACCCTCTGGTAGCGGTCGGTGCTGACCACGCTGTAGATGTAGGCGTAATAGGCCACCTCAGTGGCCGTCACCATCCCGTAGAAGAATTCCACCACCTGCATGGCCAGCACTCCATGTGCAAAGAGGAGCAGGAGCCAGGTGACGATGAGGCTGATGCCCTGGAGGAGGAGGACGGGCTTGTAGCGCAGGTAGTCTGTGAGCAGGAAGACTGGGAATAGGAGGGCGAGGTAGGAGTATGTCCAAACAGGCAAAATCTGGTTGGTAACCTAGAACAGAAGA